AGGGAAATAAAACTTTAGTTGGAGCAAAAAAGATTGCACCATACAAAAAAAAATCGGGCATATTAACTAAAACAAATCAAGAATCTTGGTGTAGAAATTAACTACGGTATAAAACGACGTAAACATTCAGCAAGAATCCATGAGACATGCGCCATAATATCATTAATCATAATCATTTGGTTTTAACATATATGAGATGCGATAGACATAAATAAGTAAAAATGTTGCAGTGGGCCACAGCACGCTACTAAATATTCTATTCATACAACGACTTTTCAAAATAAGATTTCATATGGGAAGTGATCGAAAAAGTGGTCCGATCCAAACGATTTTCAATAGCGTTCGTTCATGGGACAAGACAACTGAATGCACAAAATTTCATCAAAATATCTCAAAAATAGCGGCATTAAATTTGAACACAACAAATAAGGCAGAAGGACGAACGGAGGGACAGTAGTATAACAAAGCAGTATAACAAAATCTAGGCTCATCTCAAACCCCTCCGGGTATTGCATACATTCACACGAAATTACTATCCCCTTGTACCACGCGTGCTGCACGGTATAACGAGATACACGTAAGTCGAATGTTTGAAGAAATATAGGAAATAAACAAACTTTTTATTGTTTAAATTATGTAAAAAATGCGCGTGCAAATTGAACACTAATCGCATAATGGAAAACCACTCACTTACGTGGAAAGAAGTTATGTGTAGTTATATACCTCTTTCTCTACTGAGTAACAATCGATGGCGGCAGAAGCAATAAAAGCAGTATTTAAATATTGGTGTTTATTAGGAGCAATGAACTCCTTTAGAAAGCACCTTGAAGCCAGTAGTGTTTGCGATTGCTTTTTCTTTCCATTTTAAATCTAAAGTTAAAATAGCAACAGTCAAATTCTCTCCATAAAAGAGTGAAGAGAAATGTAAATAACTGCTCTCTCGTATTAATGGTGAAGGATTACTTATTGAACAGAATACGCTTGTCACATAAAGACATGTCTATGACAGGTAGTCGTATTGCTTTCATTCATCAGCAGTGTTGGAAATTTTATGGCGCAGCATTTTCATTATAACTAAGTGAGCTCTGTGATAAATCCGAATGGTATCGAAATAGGCAGTAAAGAAAAATAGATGAGTAATAAATTCGTATCTATTTTATTATATTAAGCACTTCTGACACTTTCGCGTTAGATAGATGCGTTTGTACAAAACGGATAAATAACATAACTCTCCTCCAGCTTAAGTAAAAGGAAGAAATTACATTATTCCGTTATAAATTTATAATGGATGTTTAAGGCACGAACACTTTCAATTTTAATTCAAACGAAAAATGCAAAAATTTCTGTTTAGTTGGCTGATAACTTCGACATAATTACGTTCGTACCTTAATAAGGAAAATCTTGCAGGTTTTCTTACCGCAACATATAATCTATTTGAAGTTTTTGTGCCATGATTGATGAAATTCAACTACTTTGGTTCTGATCATGTAAAGCTATTTATATTATTATAATATTTATTTTTGATTAACGGCACTGTTAACAAAGCTTTCACATTTTCGAATTACGTTATTACTAGATGTTTTGCAAACTTTTATTAATAAATTTTGAAAACATAGCTTTGCATCATGTTGCAATCGCTATCGAACACTGCAGATCACGGAAGACGTAGTGTTTGAAAAATATTCCAACTGATGGAGGTAACATAAAAGCGAATAAAATTTCCGCCCACCCGCCAGATCATAAAACGTACGACAATAGGCGAGCAAATGATTGAACGACAGTTACTCTGTATCACATTTTGTACGCGTTATCGAATCTTTCAAAAAAATAACAAAATCATGCCGCATTAGCAGTGTTCGATTGTAGAAGGGTTGTTATTTATGCACGACAAATAGTCAAAAAATAAATGCAGAACAAAAACAGATTAGCAGATACGTCGCATATTGAACCACTATCTTTAAATGTAAATAAAAGTGGTCCAACAACGCAGTTCCTTTAGATAACAATCGAGTTCTTTTAATAGAAAACAATCACCCACTTTAAACTATCGCAAAGATTGCTCAATTTGTATACATTACTTATAAGCATCGCGTTTAGAAGCGACTTCGCCAAGTCCACATAATATGATGAACATATTTTTATTAGATACGTTCAACTGCAACAGTTTTTGTGACAGCGTCAAACACAAAACTCTATCTAAACGAATAGCACGGCCTGGACTGAAGAAATTAGCATATCTCCGCTGGCTGATGATAAAAAAATATGTGGAAATGTTTGTGATACGCAAGCAAAAAATCATATAAATATTTGCTAAAAAGTATTTGGAAACATTAATGTGAATGTTAAGAAGCAACGTAAACAAATTATAAATAAATAAAAGCAATACGATTCACTGATCAGGAAAGTCGAGGAAAAAATGTTTAAAAGAATAAAAGAGAATAATACAATTATTGAGTAATAAAGATCGTGGCACCGATACCTCTAGGCGCCTTACGGAGAATACCGCCCTAGCGCTGGCGTACCGGCCTCTTAGTAAGGCAAATAATGCCTCGTCTGAGACAGTAATTGGTAAACCTAGTTATTAAGTGTCTTTACAGATATATAGGGAGTATAAGTGACGAAGTACTCTTAATTATTCCAGCGCTGTTGCCAAGAAGAGACTGAGTACTTCTCGTGATTGGTCCTTGGTATGTGAAGGTCTGGAAGGTGCAATATTATCTGCAATGAAGATGAAAAAAAATGAGATGAGATTTGGGACTGCGTAACGAAGATCTGATTTCCAGTACGTAAGGATGAGCTTTACCTGAGGGAAACGATTGCAAAACGGATAAGGCGGATTTACTGTCGGACACAATAAGGAATATCTTCTGTGCCTAAGTACTTGCCAATCGAATGGCTCCCAGAATCGCGAGGAATTCAGCCGCAAATATAGAACTGCATGTGTGGTTTGACAATAAACCTTCCATGTTAGTATTTGGAAACACGAGACCACTGCCTACACCGTCAAATTTTGATCCATCAATAAAGATGGGTGAAAAATGTTTCCATTTACTGTTAACCAAGTAATGGCTTTGCACTTCCGCAAGAGTAACAGTAGATATTCTCGCAGGTAAAAGCTTGATAACTGGCTGCAAATAACGTGAAACAAAAGGAATCTTGAAAAAACCTATACCAGTTACTAAAATATTATAATCATTGAGTTTGTCAGGAAAAACTTTCAAAACGGGAAAAGAAAAATTGCATGATAGAAGATCATAGACGAACGATAAGGCCCGACGACTCTCATTGAATAAAATTTTATTAGATGTAAAACCGGCGAGTGAACCAAATCTTTCGGGCAGAGGCGTAACGTTTGCCATCTGTTCTAAGCTTAGATTATGAGTGGATTTCACCAAGAGCCAAACGAAGGCATTTCCATTGAATTGTGCACAACTTCAAAACATTCTTAGTTATAAAGTTCAATGGGCATACAAAAAGCACAAAGTACGACAAATGGGTTTCAAGGCGTTAATAAGTTGGAAACATTGATTGGTAACTTTGTCAATGTGACCGACATGAGAAAGCTCCGAGTGTAGAGAGAGAGCCTCAAACGCCAAATATGTTGACAAGCGGTATAGTAGAACCAAATATGAGAAGTGTGGAAAAATACCTCTTGAGGCACAAAACGTATCACAAAAATTCCGTAGTGTTGCTAGCTTTTTTTACATTGTAACTTTCCAGCAGGAATTTATTTAACACAGTCGTTCCGGGGCGATTAGGGGAGAGCACGAAATTTCACGAAAAAAGTTTCTTTCCCAATGCTCTACAAGGTTCAAAGGCCACATATTGAGATGATAGAAAGAACCGATATTTCCTAAGACTTTTACCTTCCTGTGTAAAATTTAATTTAATGATTGTTAGTTGGTTTCAACATAAACGACTTTATTTTATATAGTGAACAGAGGATAAAATTACGCTTTGACTCATTAAAACACTGAGTTTTAATAAAACAGCAACGACAAAGCCTTTTTAATAACCTAAAGGTGAACTATGTTTTTTAGTTCAAGGATTTTTAGAGTTTTCATACATGGAAGGCATTGTTTTCCAAACTGAGAATTCTCGATATTTGCTATGGACACATCTGCGTGATATTTGTCTTTACGGTTTAATTTTGCTAACTGATAATGTTTTTATCGGCCACAGGTTTTATGGGCACTTCCGTATATTCTTTGAACTTTTTAAAGATTTAAGCGATGCCATTTCAATTGTTTTTGTTGTCAATGATATATAAATGTTTTTTATAGCTCTTCAATAACTTTTCTATATTTATTGTACGTCTGATCGTTTGTTGAACGTATAAAGATGACCGCATACATATATCAATTTTAACTGTATTCCCCTTCCTTTGTAATGACAGCAAGCGAAAAGCTACGAATAAAACAGTAACGAAAATTGTAACAGTCATATAATATTTTGATATTGTTTTCTTGTTTAAAAAGACAATATACACAGATACGTATATGTGCAGTCAAGAATTCAATTTTATTACATCACTATTGCGAAAATAATGTGTGTTGCAACTGCAGCTGTAGTAATAGCAGTAAATTTAATACCCACCCTTATTCTAGAGGCATTCCCTGAATTCCCTCAATGCTTGCAAACACATAAAAGAGTGACGTTTTTAAAAACCTTTTTTTAATTCTTTGCAGTATTTTTTCATTTTTTTACACATTTTTCCTGTGGCGTCATAAATTTTTATAAATTTTTACATAAAATGTAAATTACTGGCTTGTACACAATATAAAAGCCGATTTTCGACTTATTGGTCTTGCATAAAGCTCCCCGCTTATACGCACACAATATTGATAAATTTGCATATAAATGCAAATGTTTGCATTATGTACGCTCTTCAGTGATTTAAGTTTAATTCATTAAAATGTGTGTTATGGTATGGTTTATATAATTTTTTCATTATATAAAAGTATTTCATTATTAATATATCGCTTTCTATTTGATTGTAGGTGACCGCCACCGATGGCGATGTAGATAGACCTATAAATATTGTATATTTTCTCACCGGTCAGGGTATTGATCCTGATAATCCAGATAACAGTAAATTTGATATAAATCGAACAACAGGTGATATTTTTGTATTAAAGGTAAGTTAAATATACTAAAATTCCACGTACAAAGTAAAACTTGTATGAAAAATATTGAAAAAAAAATTAATGAAATTTTACATTAATTGATGTAAAGATTTCCTCGCAAACGAAGATTTCATTCTTTTCATAGCAGCACTCGATTGTTATCATTGCCTAAGAATATCTTATAAATTGAACAAATTATTATTGAAAAGCGTTCCACACTCCAATAGAAATCGTAATGAAAACTTCCAAATCAAGGAAGCTACATTAGTGGATAAGAGAGACCAAAATATTTTGCGTAGAATATTGAAACGCCCTGCTCGTTATTTGCCGCTGTCTCTGAACTGCGCGCGTACACTTTCGCGTTGTCTAAACACAATATTTATGTGTATTTTTGCTCTAGAAGGGCATTGAATATTCGCCTAGCGACGTTTATAATTTATTTATTACTTTCACCTAAACTTACAAGCAATTCATATAAATTTGCCCTTATGGCAGAATCGTTGCGTTTTCAGATCGCGTTTATTGTTACTTCACAATGAAATACAACAGCAATTTGCCGAATGCTTTTGATATTTAACACTATATTGTTTCCTGATATAAATAGAGAAGGAGAAAGAAAAGAATATGATTTCACAAAAGTTTCTCTTAACATAAAATCGGCTTTTGTTAACTTAGCGTATCATAATGGCGAGAGTTGCTTATAGACATATGTAACACACCTAGAAATGCCTTAACGTTTAACGATAAAGCGCTTACGTAGAATCTCATTTGTTATTTCTGAGCTTTGTTGCAAAAGTATAACGTATAAAATGAAACTTCTTCGGATACACATTTATTTATACTATATCCTCTGGCTCTGGCAATGCATTTACCTTTTAGATGTAATAAAAAGAGTTTCTCTCTATTTTTTCCAATTAGCCGCTCGATCGTGATCAGCCGAATGGTCGATCGCAGTGGCGTTTTACAGTGTTTGCCCAGGATGAAGGCGGTGAAGGTCTTGTTGGCTATGCAGATATACAAGTCAATCTAAAAGATATCAACGACAATAGCCCACTATTCCCACAGGGCATCTATTACGGTAACATTACTGAAAATGGTACCGCCGGTATGACTGTAATGACTATGTCAGCCGTGGACTATGACGATCCGAATGAGGGTACCCATGCGAAGCTAGTCTACTCGATAGAAAAGAATGTTATTGAAGAGGAGACAGGAGCGCCTATATTTGAAATTGAGCCTGCTACGGGCACAATAAAAACATCGGTATGTTGTCTGGATCGTGAAAGAACACCTGATTATTCAATACAAGTAGTAGCAATGGATGGTGGGGGATTGAAGGGTGAGTTTTATTCATTAAAAAAAATAACGATTTTTTTTCATAAGCCACGCTTGAACAATAGGTACCGGTACAGCTTCCATAAAAGTAAAGGATCTAAATGATATGCCTCCGCAATTCACTAAAGACGAATGGCTAACAGAGGTAGATGAAACCAATGGTACTTTTTTACCTGAGACACCTATACTAACTGTCACTGTACAAGATGAAGATGAAACGAATAGTTTTCAGTACAAAGTGGTACCAAATAGTGGTTTTGGTGCTGAAAAATTTGCGATGGTACGCAACGCTGACGGCACTGGATCTTTGAAAATCATACAACCCCTCGATTACGAAGATCCCCTGCAAAGCAGTGGTTTTCGCTTTCGCATCCAGGTGAATGACAATGGTAATGATAGCCGAAGTGATAAGTATCATGTGGCCTATTCTTGGGTGGTTGTAAAATTACGGGACATTAACGACAATAGTCCGCGCTTTGAACGAGAACACATAGAAGTTGCGATTTATGAGGATACGAAACTTGGTACCATATTAGAGCAATTCAAAGCTTCAGATGCCGATCAGGCGGGAAAAAGTAAAGTTACTTACAAGCTAGTGCGTTCCTCTAATCGTAAACGTCAATTCGCTATTAGTGATCAAGGAGCTGTAAGCGTGCAGCGTTCTTTGGATCGGGAAACACAAGAGAGACATCAATTGCAAATATTAGCAATAGATGATGGCAGTATACCGCGTACTGCCACCGCTACCCTAACGGTAATTGTAAAGGATGTCAATGATAATGCTCCTCAATTAAAAGAAGACTATCGTCCAGTATTAACGGAAAATCTTAGCCCGCGTAAAATAATCGAAGTAGCCGCCAAAGACGCCGACGATCGAGCTCGGGGGAATGGTGGTCCTTTCAGTTTCCGTTTAGATCCATTAGCCAGTGATGCAATAAGATCGAGTTTTAAAATTGAATATGACAGAAGTAAGTATAAATCGTTGAATGCACTTTTCCTGTACATAAAATGGAAGAAAGTTATGAATATTGCTTCTGAAAAAGGTGCCATCGGATAGAACAATGTTTGCTTACTGCTGGGGCGCATTTATTAAAACGGAACCGCACTTTTCTCATTGCGCTATTTCACTTTCGCTTTAACCGTTACTCTTTAGTTTCGTGTAAGAGTTGACCTCTTTCGTATCTAAGCTGCAAAATAAATAACTTTCATTACAATAATTAAGAAACCTAGTACGCCTTTTGGTATGTTATGAACAACTCTGCACCTTGTTTGGATCTTGATTATTCTGAATAGATTCACGGCCTTTAATGGTGTATATGTAGACAAGCCTTAACATTCACTACTTTGCCACCAGTGCAGCAACTGTACTGGAAAGTGAAGAACTGAAAGCAAACTTTAAATGCACATTTCAAATTCACATACATACTCAAAGAATGTGTAATGAAAAAAGAAACGTATATATGTTAAAGTAACACAGGGGAAAAATGGTACTGAGAATTTAAATTTTTCGTTTGCTACATCAGTTTACATCGATTTTAAGGACTACGACTAGGCTTTCTTATTATTTCGTAATTCCTGTATAGTATCATTTTACTAAATTTCAATCTCTCATATTACATTTTATTTTTTCTGTTCATTCTTTGTGTGAAATTGGCTTTTGTTGCTGTCTATAACGGCTAATGGCAATTTGTACATGTGGTGGTCAAACCCATGTCAAAAAACAATGTCAACAATATCGACTTTGATAACTATGACGACAACAACATTGAATATTGTTACGTGTTACCCACAACTTTACATATATGAATACACTTGCTTATCGAACACGTTTAGGAGGTGACGGCAGTAATGGTGTGGCCATAATCTCTTCTTTACGTCCATTCGACCGTGAACAACAGAAATCATACTACATACCCATCGAAATTAAAGACAACGGCGTGCCGGCTATGGTCGGCACCAGTACGGTAACTGTTGTTATTGGTGACGTCAACGATAATAAAATGTTTCCAGGAAGTAAGGAAGTACTTGTGTATAATTATCAAGGGCAATCGCAGGACACTCCAATTGGTCGTGTGTACGTGCATGATTTGGATGATTGGGATGTGCCCGACAAAAAATACTATTGGGAAGCACAGGAACAACAACGTTTTAAATTAGACACTGACACCGGTATTGTCACCATGAGGGCAGGTACTCGCCGGGGGCGTTATAATCTTCGCTTCAAAGTTTACGATCGAGAGCAGGGGCAAGTAGACGTGCCAGCGAATATGACGGTTGTTGTGCGGGATATTACTCAAGAGGCAGTACAACAAGCGGGGTCTATGCGCCTGCAGGGCATTACGGATGAAGAATTTGTACGTACCTGGGACTATCGATTACAAAAACAGGTTCGCTCTAAGTTAGAACGTTTTCGCGATAAATTGGCCGAACTTTTATACATCGAACGTGACAATGTAGACGTGTTTAGTGTGCAACTGAAGTCGAGAGCGACAACGGATGTTCATTTTGCTGCACGTTCAGCCCATCAACAACCTTATTTTAAAGCGGTGCGTTTAAATGGCGTAGTGCTGATGCAGCGTGAGGAAATTGAACGCGAAGTAGATCTCAATGTCACAATGGTGGGCATTGATGAGTGCTTACAAGAGGAAAAGCATTGTATAGGCTCTTGTTCGAGCCGAACAGAAATTAATCGACAACCGTACACTGTAAATGCGAATAAAACTGCTTTAGTTGGCGTGCGACTGGATTTGAGTGCAGTCTGTACATGTAAAGCACGTAATTTTAGTAGCGAAAATTCCTGCCGCACAATATATTGTTTTAATGGAGGCCGTTGTGTTGAGACACGCAATGGTCCCAAATGTGTAGCTTGTCCTATTGGTTATAACGGTCCTCGCTGCCAACAGAGTACGCGTAGTTTTCGCGGGAATGGTTGGGCCTGGTATCCTCCTCTACAGCTATGCGAAGAATCCCATCTAAGTTTGGAGTTTATAACGAAAGAAGCAGACGGATTAATTATGTATAATGGACCAATAGTGCCGCCTAAAATTGAAGAAACCGTTATAACAGATTTCATAGCCATCGAGTTGGAGCAAGGTTACCCACGCTTGTTGTTAGACTTCGGTTCCGGGACTTTAGAACTGAGAGTCAAAACGAAGAAAACTTTAGGGGACGGTGTTTGGCATAGGTTGGATATTTTCTGGGATAGCGAAACCGTACGATTGGTTGTGGATTTTTGTCGTTCTGCAGACATATATGAAATGGAAGATGGCACACTATCTGAATTCGACGACAGTTCTTGCCAATCTGGTGGAGTTATACCACCTTTTAATGAGGCCTTAAACTTAAACACACCTCTACAATTGGGTGGCTTGTATCGTCAACATTTCGATCAAACGCTATTTCGTTGGCAATACGCGTTTTCTTCCAAAGGATTTGATGGTTGCATACGCAACGTCGTGCACAACTCGGAGCACTATGATTTGGCTTTTCCGGCAATGGCCCGCAATAGTTATCCCGGTTGCCCACAAACCGATGAGCTGTGCATGAAAACCGAGCATACCTCACGCTGCTGGGAACATGGCAACTGTGTTGCCAGTCTAGTGCAAGCGAAATGTCACTGCCAACCCGGTTGGACGGGACCTACATGTAATATACCCACCATACCCACCACTTTTAAACCACAAAGTTATGTAAAATTTGCTTTAAGTTTTGAACCGGATCGTTTTGCTACCCAGTTGCAATTACGATTTCGCACTCGTGAATTACAAGGTGAAATTTTTCGAGTCAGTGATCAACATCAGCGTGAATATGCCATACTGGAATTGCAACAGGGTTATTTACATCTTCGTTTCAATTTAAATTCGCTGCGAGCTGAAGAACAGCACTTAATACTAAGCGCAATTTCTGTTAATGATGGCCAATGGCATGTAGTGAGAGTTAGTCGTTACGGTTCTGCTGCTGTCATTGAATTGGACGGCGGCGAGGGTAGGCGCTATAATGAAACTTTTCGCTACATTGGACATCAGTGGTTATCAGTTGATAAACAAGAAGGCGTTTATGCAGGTGGCAAAGCGGAATACACCGGTGTAAAGACTTTCGAAGTCTTAGGTGATTTCCAGCGCAGTTGTCTAGATGATATTAGGTGAGTGAAATTGATGATCTTAATGTCACAAAACTAAATGATTTTTATTTTTCGTACTTGAACGATAACGTTGGCTTAGGTTGTTGCTGCTTGCATTACGCCGCTTTAGCGTTCAGGAAAGTGTGTGGCAGCAGGCTAGCTTCTATTGATTTAAAATTTTAAAAAAGCTGTACAATTCGAAGAACGAAAAAGTTGTAAGAGTTTTCGTTGCTTTTTTGTTAAAGATTTTCTTGGCCTTCACTGACTCTAGGATAAATAAATGTAATCGGACGGAAAATTGTGCGCTGACTGTAGCCAGCATCACCTCTTAGGAGTGATATGCCCGCTAAGCATATTAAAAACGTTTTTCACTTTTGTCATTAAATTGCGCTGACTATTACTCTTTGTTGGTGTTGAAACTTTAACCATCATCACCACGACCAAACAAGGTATTTTTACGATTGTAAATAACAAAAGCGGAAAACAAAGACAGCAAATATGAGAGCAATGCTGAATTGTGAGTTTTAAGGAACTGAAAATCAATTCTATGCAAAGAAACTGTGGTTAAAGTTTGATATATAAATTACCTGAGCTTGTATTTAAATTGGCTTTATTTAACCCAAATTCTCAACCTCACTCTTGCAATGATCGCCGTTCTTCTTTTTTAGCATTATACAAATGTCTTAATTCAAACTGCCCTTGCTAGATATACCTACATGACACTCAATACATAGCATACGTTTCACTTCTCTTATAGTTAAGTCGATGCACATCTCGCTTTGGCAAAATATATACAATACTACTTCAATCATAGAACTCTACTTAATATGAAAATATGATCGTTAATGAATTTGAAATATTTGTTCCTGAATGTAGACAATACATTCGCAAGGAGTCATGTAAACCAAAAAAAAACTAGATGTACGTTTACGTGCTGAGAAAGTGTGGAAAAAACAGTTTGTATGTTTGAAAGCCGCACTCACCATCATCCGGATAACTAATATCATTACATGGCATTTCAAACTGCAAATTATAAGAAATCATTTAAAAGATCTAATTAACAGCATGCCCCTGTGTATTCCATAAATGTCATCAACAATTATCATACATCAAAAATACTTCATTTAATGACTTGGATATCCAGAACCAGATGTTTGGTTTACATATATATATTTTATATATAAAGGAAAAGCATTAGTTTTTCTTTCTATCATGAACTTTTGAAATTTGAACCTTTATTGCGTTAGCTAATGTTTCAAAAATATTTATTAATGTTTATTCCCATCTTTAACATGCACATGAACACGTATTCAATGCAGATTGGATGGCAAGCATTTACCTCTACCACCCTCTATGAATGGTACGCAATGGGGCCAGGCAACGATGGCCCGCAATTTAGAACGCAATTGCCCTTCGAATCGTCCCTGTTCGAATATCATATGTCCGGATCCATTTGATTGTGTAGACTTATGGAACGAATATGAATGCACGTAAGTAGAATAATAAACGTAACTCTTTCATTGAAACCAACATCAATAGTTGGGATATTACTGCAATCATTTTCATTCAGTGTACATGAGTGTACTTGAGTTGAGTGTGCCTGTGTAAGTGAAACGAAATGGTCAACAAAATGAAAAATCAATTGCATGCATCACGAACATTAAGGCAATAAATGTTGCAACAGCTGCTTAAAGATTATTGATGTATCCATTACATGCATTTTCCCTTCCTTTTTTACTCTCTTCATGGTCACAATAGATTTTACTGGTAAATTAGTTTTCTTTCAGTTTTATTCTGCTGAAGGATTTCTTTGATATTGTTTTTATTTTTCACATTAGCTCAGTTAGTGAGTTTATGCTTTCTTTTGCTCCCTCTTCGAAAATTAATCAAAAAAATCTCTGCTATTTGCAATGTATTGCTTGCACTTTTGTGTGGTTAGCATAGTTAAGATACTGTGTTAAGCCAAAGCAAACCAAAAATAAATACATTTTTATTAAGGTTTACTAAGAAGCTGCTTTACTGCATATGGTAATCAGTAAACTTTATTTTATTTCCTTTTTTTAATTTTCTTATTTTATCAATGTAATTAATTTTTTTTTTCTTCTGTTTTTTGTAGTCTAAAACAAAGTCCATGTAATACAATCTTTGGGTATAGAAGAAAGTAATTCTTAGGAATACAATTTTATGCAAATGCAGAGCTTGGCCTTGCAAAAATAAATTAGTGCAACAAATATCATTTAATCTTAAATTATTGTTATTTATTTTTATAATGAATATTTCAAGTTTGTATAGATTCTTTTTATTTATTTAAGCATCAGTTCGGCATTGTTACATTATTCGCACTGGAGGACAATAAGTAACCATTATTTTTTTCCTTACCTTCATGTAACGTGTACTTGTTATCTTTTTGCAAAAACAGTAAACTAAATAATAAAAAAAATAAACATTAATTTTACAGAGATACGGAGGCTCTCTAACAAAAACAAAAATTTCGTTTTTTAAAAAAATTTACAAGCAAAGCTTATACTCTGCTTAAGTAATCAATAACTTTTTAGACATCTTATCCTGAATTATATTTACAACTATGTCGAAATGAAAAGACGCTCGTGGCCGAATTGATAGTTAGGCATACGCCAAAAACAATAATACATGAAACAAGCAAAAAAGTTATATTCGGCGGGGGCAGAGTCTCGCATACCCACCACCATTTAAATCTTTGGCGTTCTGCGCTTTCGTAAATTTGTGGCTCATTTTTAATTATTGCTAGGAAAATTTAGACCGCCAGTTGCCGTCCGTTTAGTTGCCTGTTCTTCCGTCTAATGCTCAATTTTTCCAACTTTTTGATGAGATATTTGCTGCAGCCACAAATTTTTTTGCGCAAGGACGAACGCTTTTGAAAATGAATCAGAACGAACCTTACCTCATACGTATATATTTTAATAAACGTAATTCAGGTGAGCTTCTTATTTTACATATGAACTCAGTCTCTTTTGGACATTAAATCGTTCTGTGGCATACCTATAAGCCGTTAATTCGGTGGTGATAGGTTTGTGTTTATATCTTTCGAAGTCGGCTTATTCGGCAAATTACTTACGCTTTCTATAGGAAGGATTTTAGAAGAGGGGGTAGAGCCCAACCAACTCAAAGTTTTCACGTCTTTTCAGTATTCCGAAGTACTTACTCAGCGATTTTTGCCAAGAAACTTTCAAAGCTGCTATTAATTTCAGATAACGACTTTTTCAATGGTCGTAAAAATAGGCGTCTTTGGTACGAAACATGTTAGCGTAACGAACTGGTGTATATGTATCAAAATTTTAACCTCTATGTTGACAAAAGGTTATGAAAATGATTGTAAATCAACCCTTATAATAAAGGTTGACTCTGTCTTAGGTCCTGATGGTCTTACACCCATCCATGCAATGTTAATATAATACGAACGCGCGTACTAGTGATGCAGTGTATAAGAACTATATAGTCGATTTGATAAATAATAGAAAGTTTTCACGAAGGCTATCCCGTTTTTATCCCAATACTAAAGGGCGAGGAATTTTTCTTGATTGTTATACGATTTCAAGAGTTTCGTAATATTTTACAGCAACGTCTCGAAAAACCCAAAAACTTACTTGACGAGCGTATCGCATATTCAAGTTGAAGTGAGTCCATGAAAAAGGCAAATATGTTTGCTTATTTTTTACAAAATCGCATAAAATTATTTTAAGCGTCCTTTCCTCCATTTCCTCTTAAACTATTGTACACTATGTTGTAATAAAAAATCTCGGAATGCCGAAAAGCCACAAAAAATATTGGGACGCTCTCTTGTAACCGCCTACCGACTTATGATGTTGCAGTGTTGCTCATTGTACGGTTGCGGAGAAACCGGTTTGGTTCTCTTAGTGTTGATCGCAAACTCTTCACAACTCAAATTTATTTTGTATATTACTTGTCATTATTGTAAGTCTGGGATGTATAAATTCTGAGGTTTATGAATGTAGCTAGAATGCGTTGTGTTTGCTATGCTTAAAGTATATGTGTTTTAATTAAGGATAAGTTCACATGGGAAACGAACTCATAGCCGTTTCTGTAACTCTTATTGCTCTTAACTGCAAAACATGCTTATAAATTTCATGGTAAAATTTGGTTGTGATGATTCGTAGAAGATTCGAATTATTTTCGTTGCATACACATGAGCTGCATATTACGTTCCTTCTAGTGATCGACACTTAAGAGCTAAATATTTACGTAATAATAGCCGTTAGTAGGAGAAACTTAACTTTGTTTGAAGTTTTGAGTTTGATTGTATGAAAACGCATCAAAGCTATTAAAAAATTCAAATATTTAGAAAGTAAGTTGTTTGTTGCTGCGTTAACCTCAGGCAATATTAGCATAACAAGCAAAGCCTAGTTAGTGCGAAGTTTATCTTCATTAAGTCATGTAAACTATTATTATTTTCGAATTTGTGTTATATTTTGTTTACAAATCAACTAACATTTAGGCCCATTCACATAGATATCATATAAACGTGTGTATGTTACATGGGCACACATTTACAATACTGGTGCAGAGGTGCAGTGCATTCGTACCCACTTATTCAGAGTACTAGGGCACATGCAATTAAAATGTATGTCAGTAAACATGATTGAATGACATGATAAACTCCACAATACTATTGTTTGTGTTTCCGAATATTGACTAGTAAATCTAGTAGTATGCTAAACAGATGCCTTACATATCCCGGCTGCTGTTTTAAAGCAACGTAAAGGAAACGGAAGTAAACGTAAAGTGTTATCACCAACGTAAGCTTTATCTTTAACCATTAGAAACTTGACATTTCCTTACGTTACTGTTCAATACATTAGAGCGTAGAGAAAACTACAACAGTAACAATTGAGATAAACACAATCGGCAATTGTAAGGCGTTGTAATACCAGTTGCAGTAATCCAGTTATCGTTTCACTCATTGTCCATATTATTATCATCGTTATCATCATCAACATTATCATCATGAGTTTTATCTTCATTATCGGCATTGGATTGCTCTTCTTCAAAAATCTTCTTCTTGCAATCGTAGACTACTACGTTATACAGAATCTAAGAAACTTACTTATTAATGTTCAAGTATAAAGTATGTAGTGTGTACATGTATGGACATGTATATGTATGTGCTATTCTCTCCAAAAAAATGATGAATTGATATGCCAACATAAGGCATGTTAATATCAATTTCCTTCAAACTACTGCGCTCTGTGTGTACGAGAACTACATACTTAATGCTGTGCGCTGCAGATACATCATAAGTGGAACTGTGTTGGAATGTCACAGATTCATCTGTAACATGCTTATATATGCCTATCGACACATACTTTTGCACATATGCATAAAACTATTTAAATAGATGATATGATCACTGGGATTCATGCAACACCGGCAGCAGCAAGGCAGCTGCAAACATTTTCCACATCATTAGTTATGCAGAGAGTAACAGAAGTTTAGACATAGGCATACACGTACGTACGACGGCAGTTATCAACATTCTCGAGTTGCTGGCTGACATTGTACAAATATGGGTATACGCTCACACCTACACACATACAGACAATCTTAAATACATAAGAGTTAAGTGCATAAACAATACGCAAATCAGTTGGAGAAACCAAAAGAATGTATAAATGCACTCATCTCTGAGTTGTCCCTCCTTTTATAAGATTATTTTTACCGATAATGTGCAAATTTCCTAGTATACAGCTATATTCGTGCGAGTATAGCTGTATATATATAATGTTTATCTATGTTTGCATATATATTTGCGTGTATATGCATATGTGTATATATATAGTACGTACATTTTTGTAAGAAGCATATACATATTTTGTATAGAGATATACATAGTAGTCCGTTGACTAATCATTCCCATCACCCTTGCTCTGTTTCATATTGAAGTTTGCTGTCAGTGGAGTAGTCAGCAACGATATTGATAAGTTAAGGAGGGACCCTTCTTTTCTGGAGGATGTAATATATATAGTGCAGCTGAGCGGGCGTGTGTGCTTTGCGCTACCAACAAAGCAGCACACTTTAAGGCCAAGTTTTAAAATTCGCTAGCTCTCTGCCATGATCTTTAGGAATATATTTTCCATGAGGGATTTGTCGTACTCCCTTCAAACACATTTTACTAACTCTGTTTTCTTTCTCTCTTCATTTCTTAAGTACATCACCGTTGTATGCTTTAAACGCGTTCCATTTGCATTTCCTATATGTAACCGCTTGCGCTTTTCTCTGTGTTGTTTATCCATACGTGTCTTGTCTACAGTAGTCTATTAAATCATTAGGATAGATGTTTAAGGTGTACTTTTTTCTTTTTTTTTTTTATTATTATTATTATTATTATTTTAATTTTAGACTAATGAATTGAATTCTTAGACTAAAAAAAAGACATTGAGCACTAGCAACACAGGCTATCGGCACTTTTTTTTTTTTTTTTTTTTTTTTTTTATTTCTCCTTCCCTTAGCTGCTCAGCATATGTTTTAGTAAAAAATTTCAATATTCTTTATTGCATTATTTAGTTGCAGTGAAGGTCGCGTCATGTCATCCGATACCAAGGGTTGTGTGGATCGCAATGAATGTCTGGATTTGCCCTGTCTAAACGGCGCCACATGTATAAATCTTGAGCCTCGTTTACGTTATCGCTGCATATGTCCTGAAGGTTATTGGGGCGAAAACTGTGAACTTGTGCAAGAAGGGCAAAGATTAAAGCTAAGCATGGGAGCGTTGGGTGCCATATTTGTGTGTCTTATTATCATACTGAGTAAGTAAACAAAAATAAACAAAAAAAAATTTTTTTTTAATAAAAAATTGCGGAAAGCAACGGCAAAATTATGTCAAACGCTTCTACGATTGTTTAAGTTCTCCAAAATCTTTTACAGAAATTTTATTAAAATGATGTTTGCGTTTATTTAAGCCAAACAATTATATGAGAGCTTCGATTGAAATTTATTATAATAATTTTTTGAAATTTTTTTGTCCCACATATTTTGAAAATTTTCTCAGAGAAAATTAGAAAGTATATATAAAATTATTTTTGAATAATATTTTTTTTTTTTAGATCAAGTTTTATGCAATTTTTTTCTTCAGCCATTGTTAATATTCGGGTTTTAAATAAGTAAATTTACAAAGGAAATTGTTCACCACAAGCTTTATGTGTGCATTCTCTCTGTGTATTTTTTGAGCACTGGCTTGTGTTCAAAGCAACATTTTTTGAAATTTATTTATCTTCGCTCACATTTTTGCTCCAGTCACGATTACTTCCATGAATTTTGAAACTTACTAACACTATTTTGAAATTTTAACTTGGCGTGCGAAGAAATAATATTTTTTTTTTTCTATGTTGCTACGTAATATAAATTAAAAGTAGGCGCCTTACGCACCTTACTTTGACTATCTGAGGATACGATGGTTCTCTTTGCCGAGGTTTTTGATCAACATTTGTAATTGCAATGACTTTACTTCTGAAATAATTCGTAACAGTCTATTTACATATAGTGTATTTCGGTGATAATTGGTACTTTTGGAATGTCAGCTGAAATCAGGAAAAAATTAAAATTTCATCACATAAAGAATATCAGATGAAACGAAGAAAATGTCTTAACTTCATTGAAATTCATAAGTCTGTGTCTGTTAAATTCGTGAAAACAGACCAAAATAAACGAATTAAGACACCCGCAGCAATTAAGAAGAAAGAGAAATGATTGCATAAAAATGATGCATGCGCAACATATATTATCTAGAAGTATTGCAGACGACGGCCAAAAGCATATATTCCATGCTTTATAAATGATCAGTTTTTCGTTTTGCAATTTCTCTTCAAAAAAGAAAAAAAAAAATGTGTTTATATTTTTATTTAATCATTTAGGCCGAAAATACAAAATACTTGCTTGCTTCGGTCACTTCTCGCGCAATAACTAACACTCGCTTAAAGAGTATAAATAAGAAGAGCAAAAGTAAGAACTAATAGGCATTTTGGTAGATAGGCGAAATGATGATTACTCCAAAATGCGTAAATTACATTTGAAGAAATTAGGCAGTTTTAACGCGCGTTTACTTATTCACATACGGCGAGGCTTAATTAACACTTGAGTAACCTTTTACTGAAGTTTGCTTTATGCGCGTATTCATTGGCAAAGTGTCCAGATTAAGTGTACGTGCCTGATAAGCACTCTGTTTGCTTTTCGGCTTAATTCTTCCAATCGATCATTGACAAAACCACTGTAAACGACCTCGTTATAAACGCCTTATAAAATACACTAAGCAACAACGTAACAAGTAAGAAAATTATATAGAATCATGACCGATTCTTTTATACCCATCACCGTTACCCTATAAAAGGCAATATAAAATAAATATTTGTGTCGTATAGGCGTGTGGGTATCCTAGGTGAGTTCTTTCAAAAGCTTAGGTCACTTTCAAATTCATTTGCAAATTCGTTGGCGATATCTTCATTTTCGTTAACGAAAGAATCTTTACGCAATTAGGCAGACAAACAGATGGACGGACGGACATGTTTAGGTTCATTCCAAACTTAAAGCTCACCAAGCATTTGTACAACTTCGAGGGTTTTTGAAGCTTGTTTCTGCACGTTATAAAAGTAGGGCAACGAAAAATAAATAAAACTATATATTGGGTAGGCATCGGCAATTTTTCTATCAAAGTTGAAGTCGATAGCTTGATTTTTGCGGGCAGGCAAATTTTTATAAGATACATTACATAGATGGACAAACGGCTAGACGGACAGATGGACATGCTTAAATAGGTTCAAAATTTGATATTGATCGGGAATATATATACACGTCTCCGTAGCTTCCTTCTGGGCTGTGTTGCAAACGTTTTGTCAAAATGAATACAACTCTTATCGTTCGGTGGCGGGTATAAAAAGTGTTAGTTAAGCAAACACAGAGAAGATTCCCTTTTTTGTAATACGCACATATTTCTGATCGACCCAAAAATGCCAATCGCCCTGTCCTCCTTCTGCTTTCTTTTGTCGCCAGTTTTTGCAAGACAATAGTAAAGTTAAAACAACACATCCACAATAGACATAGAGGTACAGTTTCGTTATTAATCTCATAATATCAGCCCTATGTGTAAGACCGCGAAATATTTGAATGGTTTAGTAATTATTAATAGCGTTCTTTTGCGAAAAGAACACTTACTGTTTTGTTTTATAGGCAGAATCACTCCCTCAATCCCTGTGTCCGTCTGTCCAGGCATATTCTTTTCTTTAACCTACAGGTCACAGTTTTTGAGATATTTTATAAAATTTGGTTCACCGACGTGTTTTGGCCCAAGAACATGCGTTATTGAAAATAGTTCCGATCGGACCACTTTCTTGACCACTTCCCATATAAGGCCTTATCTTGAGAAGCCGTTATATAAACAACCCTGTGATGTGAAATGATGCAGGGCATTTAATGGCAGCTGTGGCCCACTTTAAAGGTTTCACACATTTTTTTAATATTTTTATAGCAATTTTTGGAGTTAATATTTTTTTCCTTATTTACCATTATTTAGTCGCACTGCGCTACAAGTGATTTGGTTTCTGTTTCCTTTATCATTTCGTTTCCGTTATTCATTTTATTACATTACTTATATGCATTTTTATTATTATTAAATCAAAGCGATCCAGTCTTTTTATAAATTTTTAATGCATCATTTTTATAATAATAACAATAATAACAATAACAATAATACTTAATGCAATGATGTTACTGCTGTCGTTTTACACTCATCCGAGTTTGGATGAACTGTAAAAAATAATTTGACGTAAAATTGTCACACTGTTATTTTTTCTCTTTTAAAACTTGCATTATTATTATTTACGGATAATACTTTAAAAAAAATTTGCGTTTAGTTTTATCGCAGCAGGTGCTGGAGAATGTTGCAATAATAATTTTAGAATTTTACAGTATAAGTTCTGGGTTATGTTTGTATTTTGTGTTTGGATTTTTGCCAAAATTTTACTTTTGCAAACTTAGTAATAAGTTCATCTTCATTTTATATATAATTTGTTAGAATATTGTGTGAGCACAAAAGGTGTTCCAAAATGAGTTTGAAGTTTCGCGCTTTAAAAAATAAACTATTTTTACTTCACATCTCTGCTGCGGTATTCATTGCAAAATTTACGTTCAAGTAATGAGCTAAAAGTGCAATATGACAGATAATAATGCAATGAAGACAAATTCTTTGTTGTATTATTCTTCAAAGACTTCTCCTGTATGTGTAAGATCAGTCGAAAAGGTATAAAAGATTATAATCAAATGACGATTATATCGCCATTAAACTTTTGTTTTGTAATAGAATACTTCTTGTTGTCTTCAAAACGAAACTGAGAATGATGTGCTTTTTTCAATGGAATTACGCGTATAAAGCCAATTAAATTATACAACCTTTTTTAACATAGTTCATAAGCTCGTAAACTATTCTCGCTGACAACCGCTTTTTACATAACAACTGCATTTAATTCAAAAACGTACACTCAATGATCATCCGCATCAGTTTTCCACGGTCTCTCCATGTGCATATAATTTGCATATAATGACCCCAACACTAGCTCTTCGTCCTTCTGCGAGTAATCCTCTTCGAGCTTTCTACTTTGTTGTTATTTAGTTTTTTTCTCCTTCTGTTTACACCGTACCAATTACATATTAAAGCAACATTTGTTTTTATTACGATTGCAACTAACATATACTGTTATCTTTGCTATCTTTGCGGTATCTCAAAACGTTTTTGCTAATTTACTAAAGGGTTGTACTGAAATCAAATTTAGCCTCCTGCCATTGGACACAAAAAATACTTATTACTATCAAGGTGAGAACCAAATAAGATTTTCTTACGCTGCTGATGTGTAAATATTGGGAATGTTCTAAACTTCTCATAACTTGCACATAAAGCGATACAATAACCATAGATGATGTTGTCTTTCCATTGTAGAGTATGACATTTACGATGAAGTAAACAATTCTAAAACTTCTTTAATAGCAATGGTATTGACTGTAGCTTCATTACACTGCAAATCTCGTGTTGGTCAAAATATCTGTTTTGTCGTCATTATTTTTATGTCTCCCAAAGGTCTCCAAATTACTTGAGTACCGGCTGCCGTAGCAAATATCTGAAATGATTGAAAAAAATCTACGTTAATATACTGGATCCAACGCAGCAATGTGAAATTATTTCCTGATATCAATTTATCTCATCTTCGTTGAATAAAACAACGATGAGTTACATAAGTGGCTTTTTGTAAGTACGTTGTTCAAGTTATTCAGCTTTTGATTATGAGGTCTTATATCAACATCAGTTGGTTTAATGAAAAGGGCTTGTGCCCCTACAGCCGGTAAAGCCTCATTACTACTCTTTCGTGCCAGGAGATGAAAAAATAAAACAGACTTTCGGCTGATATGACAAAAATATATGTTTAGAGATAAAAGACTATTTCCATGTTGGATCCCAAATAAGCGGGCGACAAAAAGAAATGAGATGCGTTCATTGCTCGAAAGCAGTAACACAAAAATTCGGTTGCGGTGTCTCATCAAATTCATTTATACAGTAATACCATACCAGCCCGCACTGGAAACTTTTGCATATAACCGCAAAGTCAAATGTCGCTATCCTAGGCCCTGGTTGCTAACATTAACAACCTATAAAATTTGCTTCATATCACATTAAAAGCAGCGGCCGTAGTTAAAAATGTTAATGAAGTTCGAGTGATGTTGCCTTGCCTCGGGATAACTGAGCTGCTGGTTAGATTTTGCTCATCAGCACATGCTTCGATATGGTACCATTGACACTAACGGTCTTGAGGGACGCATATTTCCAATCTTAGGTCCCTATGGTAAGAATATGTTGAAATTTCAAACTCTTCCACAGTTTCCCGATTTTACTGTTAATAAGTGATAAGACCGCAGCACTGTCTTTGAGGAGTTGCATAGGGATTTAATGGCTACTTAAACATTTACATCTTCGTTGTAACAATGCCAAGTACCGTCTTGAGCAGTCAAATTTAATTTTAAATTGATAGAAGGCAGCCCATGCTTTCCGGTTTTGTTTACAATTCTTTCATATAATGGAAAGAAGAGGCTGTAGAACAATTTTCGCATTCAAGGCATCATTGCATTTATATGAAAGAAGTAGTCCAGCGCAAGCAAAAGTATACCATTTCTTATTTGGAACGTTTCGAGAAATATTAAAATGTCAAGTCTTTGTGTTCATTGGGCTTTTGCCTTTCCCCTAGAGAGAGTTTACTAAAATATTATAAAAGCTCCTTCATTAAATTTTTTTGCATTTTTGAAGAATTGCTTAACTGAATTAACATATCTTAAGTAAAAGATTAAAAAAATATGTTAGTAAAAAACTTTTCATGTTCTTACTGCTACTGTTGTAGTTATTCAATATTATTGTTTCGTAACCGCGATTAACTTCAACTTGCAATGTAATCATAGAGCGGTAATAAAGCTACAAACGATAAGTTGAAAAAGGCCACAATACTTACTTCAAAATGAAAGCAGCGAAAAATTTTCTTTACCAATATATCCATTAAGATATTATTGCCTCGCGTTTTTTCTTCGCTCTAGCCGTCGCTGTGCTTCTTTTTTATCTTTCTTTTAGTTTTGTGGCATCGTGAATCTAACCTCGTCCACTTATGCAATGCGAAGCTGTTGGTTGCTATAGATTACTTTGTTAGCTGTTCGTTATAAAACAGTCAGATAAGAGGTTCGAAAGTTTCTGTAAATTGCCAACGATTATGTAAGCGTTAAGCCACAATGGTATTTTGTAGGGGAATAGAAAAAAAAAAGCAGAATAAAAAACGAACAAAAAAGAAATTACATAAAATGAACCATTCCGAAGAAAGAGATTCAAATTATTCATGTTGACAAGGAAAGATGATATAAGCTAATAGAAACAGGGTTTCTATGCATTAAACCTTAGCTTTACCGATTTTTCCCCTTTTTACACTTATTTTATAGGATCAACTCTAAAATAAGAATGAAAATTTCTGCCGTTGTACCAACTGTAGTGTATGACAAACAAAGTTAATTTTTTTTGGAAATCGGAATGTTCTCAGTTTATGCTGTCCATTGTAGGTGTTTATTTTGGCTGATTTGATCCATTTTGGACACCTAGTGACCCTACAGGATTTCTAATGTTTTTCCTAAATTTGAAGGCGATGTCTAAGACTTTGCGACCAAGTGAAATTTTTAAAGACATTGCACGGACGGATAGACGGACATGCTTGGATTGATACAGATTTCGATGCTGAATAGAATCTCTAAAACACCTTGTCATGTCGAATACAGCTCCATCATTCAAGGCTCTTTACATCCGAAAATTTGATATTCTGAAAAAATTTGGTTTTAATAGCGAACTCTTTTTTTTGAAAAAAAAAAGAAACGCAAACGCCTTCCTGTTATCACAATGTCTTACTGCATCTAATTTAATCAATCGAATAATTGTGTTTACTTTATTTAACTCGCCTTACCCTAATTATTCAACAATGTAAGCGTCATGCTGTTTGCTCTTGCACCCTCTTATAAAATTCTAGTCATTGCTCTCATATTTGTGCTGTATAATCGTAAACGTAAAACCATTAAAAAGAAACGTAATGGGCCGGAGAAGGATGTACGTGAAACGGTAATTAGTTACGATGACGAGGGTGGAGGTGAAGATGATATGACTGCGTTTGATATAACGCCCTTACAAATACCCATTGGACAGGGTGGCGTGGGCAACAACATGCCACCGGACATAGCGGCCTGTAAAGTACCGATTATATGTATGCAATTACTATAACATTTATTTTCTAAGAAAATGCGAATGATTGGTTTTCCTTATGCTATTTACTGTAGATCCTGTTGTTACGTTATTGCCGGGACAAGAATTAAATGTTGGTTACTTAATGGAAGAACGTAAGAAACGCATTGATAAGGACGCGAACGCACCGCCATTTGACGATTTAAGAAATTTTACTTACGAAGGAAGCGGCAGTATAGCGGAATCGCTAAGTTCATTGGCTTCAGGTAAAAGGTTTCTATGAACGGTTTTTAAACATTTAAGCGCAACGCGAAAGAATAGTGAAGCACTTCTTTTTGTGTTTTTTTGCTTTTCTTTTTTTCTTTCTTCTTCGTTCATTCAATTCGTGATCTGTCTAGGTACTGACGACGAGAATCAAGACTTTAATTACTTACAAAAGTGGGGTCCCCGTTTCGATGCTTTGGCAACGTTATATATGCAGGAAAAGAGTAAAACAACAAAACCAACAAACGACGATAAACCAAACGAAACCAGTGTATCATAAAATTAGGTTAATTTCTCTATATTTTGCCCTTTTGCTCTCTTCCATTTTTAACATTCTAAACATTGTATATGCATACACAAACAAATTCTACATATATGCATACTTACAAACACCCCAACGATTGGAGATAAGGTCACCGGCAAGTGTTGTTAAAAAAAAAATTTTTATTTTTTTTTTTTTTTTTTTTTTGTGAATACTTTGTTTTGTGAATATTTGCCATAAAAACAAACAAGCAGCCTAACGACATGACTTCTTTACGTGAAAGCAGGAAAGTGAAGTATATCAGTGTGGTAAAGGGAGAGAAAGGTTTACATTGCAATTAAGGCCAGTGGAACAGAGAACAAGAGAAATTTAACACTTTAGTCTGTACGAATGCACGCTGGCGCTTATGCTGATGCTGATGGTTATGATGACGGCAATGGTGATGATGACGATGATGATGGTGTTGATGAAAAAATCATAGCTTCTAAAAATGTCATAAAACAAAACTGGGACATAAGCTTGAAAGCAGAAGGCAAGATTAATAGACGAAATCCCTTAACGGAATATGCCTTTGAGTTATAAATTGACGTGAAGTTCAGAAGGCATTGATCAAAAGAATAACATATATATATATATATATATATATATATATGTATGTTCACGTAAAATGTATATGTATATGTAATACACATGTGTAGTTCCATTGAATTTTAAAAAATTCTATTAAAGGAAACCTGTGGAATAATTAGTGAAAAAAAAGAAAGAGACAAAAAACCTGGCAAAGAGCCAACAATCAAATGCGACTAGACCTTCGCACATAACCGCAAAAAGGCTGAAACACATTCCGATACATACAAAGAACGAACTAAAGTATACTTTCTGTAAATTATAATTTGTAAATATTAGTAAATAAAAGTAAATCTAAGTTATATTGCGAAAGAAAAGCGAAGAAAGAAAAAAACAAGTGAAAAGAAAACTATGACATTTTATTTAAAATTATTATCTATGTATAATCTAAACAAACACTAGTAGTTGAATATAATTATAATAATAATAATGATAATAATAATAACAACAACAACATGGAATTTATTATTATTATAAACTTACATAACTTAAAAATAAAGTCATCAGAAAATAGTAAAAGGAAAACTTGATTGCATTTATTAGTCTCTTCAACTAAAACAATGAAAAAAATGCATATAAATTTCATAATAATATCAATAATAATATAATTAAAAAAAAAAAAAAAAAACAATAACAATAAACAGTTACATCAAGAAAATTAAAAACCAAAAAAAATTTGTTAGTAGTTAGCTTATAAGTATGTAAGACATTCTTTTTTTAAAATGAAAGACGATTAGAAAACAAGGACAGAAAAATTCTATGCGACTAAAGAAAATATTAAATAAAAAGAAAAATATATAATTTTAAAAAATATTACAAAAAAGAAAAAATGAAATGGAAAGGTGTTTAAATTTACCCGGCAATGCAGGTAAGCAATGCTAAAGAGATACTGTCTTCATAATACTTTTAACCTCGCTTTTGTTTTCCTACTCTCTGTTTACTCTTTTTAACAGAGTAGCTGACATTTTGCGTTTTTCTTTACATTTTTTCGTTATTGAAGCATTTTATGCATAACGAGTTACTCCGTTGTATTAAGGTTTCAACTTTTCACTTTTCTTCATGAGAATTTAATGAGCCTTGTTAGCAAGTAAACACTTATCGTTTTTCGTCTTTATTACTTTCAGATATTCAGGTATGCTCTCAGTCAACGACGGTGTGTTAAGTTTGGCGAAAGCCTCCAACGTTCAGCAACGCACAAGAAGGTCCTATAAACCCATCTAGCTTTTGATCAGCTTGAAATCGATTTATTCACGTTAGCCTGTCTACCTTTCGGGAACACTCACACGTTGATCTATGCGGTAAACTTGACTGCAAGTTTTCCCTTTTTCAACTACATTTCAAATAAGCATGAAAAAGCAATTATATTAATTAATAGTAAACAATAGGCAAAGATCCTGAGAGCATATGAAATATGGTATCCAAAAACTTATTTGCCATCAGCAAAGTTCAAAGTTACACAAGCGATTAGCAGTATACAAGCATTCCTTTTAAGCCGCAAGTCGTTTTTTCTTTCTTTCTTTTTTTTACGTTTATGACACTTGGCCTTTCGTAAGGTCTCCTTATCTCTGCAAAAGTCTTATTATATAGATTAACATAAATGGTGACACGAATATCACAGATTTTCCTTTCTTTTATTGTCGTTAAATATTACATGACTTTTAACAAAAACTTGCTTAGGCATACGATTTTTTACTTATTTCACCCAATTAACAACAACAATTAATCTCCCACATGCACACTTCAAATAGTCAAGAAGAAAAATTATTTTAGTTTCCTTTCCTTCGCTTTTTGCAGTTCCGCGTTCAGTTACAAGAAATGATTTAAATTTATTGAGACAGTTTTGAATTTTCAAATTTTGTTAGATGTTTCGTTTCAAGGAGCGATCTTATGTTTTTTGAATGTTATACCTTGGTGTACTTTGAGCTACTTTGAGTTGATGGCTGTTTATGCTTAATGCTAGTAGACAAGAATGTGCCTTTTATACTTACCAGGTGCAACAAAGATACTAAAATGAATTGGTCGTGAGCATCTATACATTCGTTCTTAAATGTGTTTGTGCTAGGTTACAAACGAAGGCGGCATATTTGCGTTCTATTTGTGTGAAAAATGTTATGCGGTGTTTACGATCTCAATTAGCTCAAACACTTTAAATTTTGAGTTATTTAACACTATATCATGGATTTCTTTAATCATATGGGCTGTTGCGACATCATCATCCTACCAGTCTCCAGTCTAAGCAGAAAGAACGAATTAATTTTAAGAAATTCAACTGGGATGATACATTCATTCCTACGCCCTTCTATTTTTTGGCATGTGTTTTGAAGAACGTGATTTGTCTTTGCTCTCAAAAAAGACTTCAGTTTCGCCCATCATTCCAAACCAAAATCTTTTCTTGAACCTTTTCTTGACCCCGCAAAAAGTCAATAATATTTGGGGGCCAGATCTGGAGGGTGCAGTAGCTGAGGAAGCAATTCAAAGCGTAATTCATTCAATTTAACCACCGTTTACATCTATTTCTCAGACGGGGCATTGTCTACGTACAACATTATTTTTTTTTGCATGTGAGAACGAGTTTTTTTGATTTCTAAACTCGGTCGGTTCAATAATGCCATGCAATATTCGCTATTGACCCTTTGTTTCTTTTCGAGCTAGTCGATGAATAAAATACCATAACCGTAGCAAAGGACGAACGCCACGCGGACGCGATGATACTATGCGTATGGTTGAATGCCTTCGTAAACCAAGCAGAAGCGCTGACATGGAAGGCTTTGTTCATAGGATATCATATGAAAATCTAATATTAGCTGGTAATTGCAATGTGTTATTATGTATCTAAATTATCGAAGCACACAAGACTGGCATGATGCTTCCTCATAGTTGATACTGAGCTATAAAAGTCGTGCAGTGCTCTCTTAATTCTGATAGTTTAATTGAATATTTTCCGCAGTTCGGCATTATAACTGGTAATTCTTCTCTGCACCTGGACCCGGGTAACCATATGGACATAAAGACTCAATCAATTCAAAACCTTAATAATAGAGTCGACCTCGCGAACAGCGTGTCGTTTCAGGTCTAATACTGTTATTGACGATAATGTGAGCACCAAATTTCGTAACTTGGTTATTCTAAATATCATTTAAGCACTGACCCCTGTACTATATTATATTAGCGCAACTTCCATGTTTTGGGACTGATAGAAATTCACTCCTACAGCTTGTGTCAAATTTTGTTTAGTATCGTCATAAATGATCTGCTTACAGGTTATCTTGGCATTCCTTTGCATGCTGACGTCATGTACATTTTCCGCATACATTTACAAATGACGGATCAACAAAGATGTGGATCGGAACGCACCTTCGTCTAGTAGAAATAATTTAAAGCCAAAGTTATAAGCCAAGGTATAATGTATAATCCCCATCATTTGGCTTGTTGACTAATGCGAAGAGAAAGTTTGCTCACATTGTGCCATATCTCGAGCTTAAAATTAACTTTGTTGCTCCGAACACTATATTAATTTTACAATAATGCAATTGAGCTGAGCTGTTTTCATTATCGCCAGAGTGAGAAGAATGCTCTTAGGAAGATAGCGAGATGAAAGCGTTGCAGAGGTAACAATAGAGTTTGGTTTAGAGGATGGTTGGACGTTATATAATTTTTGGATAAGCATAAGTTCAGAGACCTGAGATAGGTTGGAGGGTATTAGTAGGATCAATAGTTCGGAATTAGAGGCTTTGTATTACAAGAGGAGGTAACGATCTACGGATTTAACGTCTTTTTAATTGGTACCGAGATAGCAGTCTCAGTATTGGTTCCCATGATTGTCGATGAAGTTACTCCAGACAACTTTAAGAGGCTCTCTAGAGTAATTGAAAAATTATTATTTGGATAAGCGCAAATACCGTCCGAGAGAGGGAGTAAATTTGAGGCTTAAGAAGTCAGATAAAGGTCCGAGTTTGAGTAAATTTTTAAGAGAGATGGTAGAGTAATTTTCATGTTCACTGAAACCCGAGGAGATCAAAACAACCCCACGAGTTGCACAATACTCCGATGGAATATAGACGATATAAGTTTTGTTAAGCGAAGCGCTGGTGGCAAGAAAATTTTCCGTAGCCGTGGCAATTACGATCTCACAATTTTACTAAAATTTGTTGCGAAAGGGAAAAAAATGAAAACGCAATGGAAAACCAACTGCCTTGACAACATCTACCATACACGAGACTTATGGCTCCCAATTGAAACTAAATTGACATTATTTATATGGTTTGTTGTTTGAGTGAAATCGTATGATACCTTGACTATGTTTCTCGAAATAAACCGAAAAGTACGATATGTTCGCAACAAACCGAAATATTATAGGACAAATGAAAAATTCAAGACAATTTCCCATACGACTCTCCCGATACACTTCAAGATTAGGTACTTGATATTTATAATGACCTTTGAAGGATGGGCGTATGTTCATTTTGTTTGATGTATGTTTTTTGCTTGCAGGAAAGTTTTAAAGACACCATAAAATTTATGTATTTTTGATCAGCATCAAATTTTAGGTCGATGTAAGCATGTGCGTTTGCCTGTTTGTTTGTCTGCCTGTGTTCTTTAGTCTTTTTTACGTTAACGGTCACGGGTATAAACGATTCGGTCACAACCAAATAGAGTTTTTACTTACTGGTTGTTCGTTACTTCTAAACCACAAAGGATACTATGAAAAAAAT